GATACTTGTACTTTTACTCAAGTAATATTTTTAAATGAGACTTTAACTGTTACCAAAGTAATTTTTCAGTAAGATACTTGTACTTTTACTCAAGTAATATTTTTAAATGAGACTTTAACTGTTACCAAAGTAATTTTTCAGTAAGATACTTGTACTTTTACTCAAGTAATATTTTTAAATGAGACTTTAACTGTTACCAAAGTAATTTTTCAGTAAGATACTTGTACTTTTACTCAAGTAATATTTTTAAATGAGACTTTAACTGTTACCAAAGTAATTTTTCAGTAAGATACTTGTACTTTTACTCAAGTATCACTTTGTGGTACTTTATACAACACTGCCAATAATTAGTCCTAAAGGTTTTGAAATCAATAAAATGACAACAGTGCCCAAATTTTTGCACCTGCCTAATTTTGTTTAACCAATTATTGCACACTTTCTGTAAATCATATAAACTTCATTTCACTTCTCAAATATCACTGTGTTTGCCCCCCTGTATGAAATATGTAACTGATATTTTTAATCCTAACAATCAATGATTTATAAAGGTAAATCAGGAAAATWAACAAGGGTGCCCAAACTTTTTCATATGAATGTATGTGGTCTTATAGGGTGTGCAAATCTAGATGTGTGCTTAAATCTAATCTAAATGTCTCTTTTAGTTACTTATATTTTATATTTATATTTAATCTTAGCATAATTCATAGATGAATTGAGTACTATGAATTACGACTATCTGACTACAGCTACAATAAGTATAGTTGGACCAATAATTGAAAAGACTAAGTGGAATTATATTGTTTCTACATAAGACAGAATATTACAATTTAGTAACCAAGACAACTGCTGGTGGGCCAAATCAAATGGCTTGGCGGGCCAATTTTGGCCCACGGGCCCCACTTTGAGCACCTCTGAGCTAGACCAAGCAAAGAAACTTTGCACAGTTTTTCCAAACAAACCATGTAAGTTGAGTCATGCTGTTTGAGCCAGATAATGTTAGCTAAATTGTTGAATTAATAGGCTACATGCCAATATTTAAGCTAGTTAACAAAATATTGTTGTTAGCCTGGTGGGCACAGTTCCCCTAAAGCACTAATAGGGAAACTAATTTCTTGATTAGGGCTTTTGCTCTTTTTTAAAATCATTAGTGGATTAACACTTGCCAAATTTATGGGCTAAATTTAGAAGCACTAACTKAGGCCTTTAAATGTTATTGATCAACATTATTGTTCCCAGTTGAGGGTGAAAGCTGTCATATTTTGTTCATATGTGTGTCACTTATCTACAAGGACACATGTCAAACTCATATATGGCCCACGGGCCAATGTGGCCTGCAGGTGACTCCCATTTGGCCCAGCACGGGCATTAAGTTACAATATTCTGCACACAGTAATTATTGTCTCATGTTGATTGAAGAATATTCCATGTGTCAGCTGGATTATATTAGTGCTTTACAATTAGTTGATTAGATTTGATCTGATTTATTTATTTAACAGGAAAAGATTACTAAAAATCAAGCCTGACTCAGCATAATTGCTGTTTTACAGCAGGTTCCTGTTCTGCAGCACATAAA